GGGGGGGTGGTGTGTGTGTGTGGAATTCAAGGCCTCACAATGTCTTCTCTGCAGCACTGGAGTGTGATGCGTAAGCCCACCTCAGAACTGGCTGGTTGCCTTGTGGGTATGCAGCCAGGGCTGATATAAAGGCTGGGTCCCATCCTCTTTACAGCTTCAGTCTTGGGAAGAACCTAAGCTGGTCATATTCTTTCAGTGAATAAAGCGGAAAAATAAGGGCGATAAAGTTAATGGGGCCTAGATACCATGGTGAGGGGCGCACCAGGAAGAGAGAGTTACATATGATGTCCTGTTTTACTCCTAGTGCATAGCTGAAGCTGGAATCATCCTCAGGTGCCCTTGGAAGGACCCTCATCTCAGTGCATGCGTTTGCCTTCATTAGTGACATGCAGTCACAACACTTGCTGTGTTCAGAGCGTCATCCCCCAAGGTGCAATGTTCTGGGGAGAGGCAGAAGGTTGGGTTTGCCCTGGGCTCTCTGACACCACATGGGAAGTCCTAGGAGAGATCTCAGTAAGTCTGTGAGACGACTCCATGTTTGCCAGCATTCCCCACATGTTCCCCAGCCTGGCACTGAGCCACATAGCATACCTTGTGTGAAACAGACATGGTGTGCATTGGCCAGACAGCCAGCAAACCCACTGCTCACACCAAATCTGCCCCGAGAGATGTGTAGAGAGTGTGTTTGTTGGCAGAGGTTGCCAGTGCTCTGATAGGAAAGCCCAGGAGAGAGCAGCTTTGCAAGAGATGTGACAGACGTAGCAAGAAGAGAATGTCCTTGCTGTATGCGTGATGCCCTAAAGCAGAGTGATAAACCATAGCCTGTACCTAGACACATGCTCCATGATCCCTATAGGGGTTTTTGCCTTCGTTCTCACAGCCTCCTACCTCCGGCGAAATTGCCGAGTGCTGGCCGTTCCGCTGTGTGCAGTGACTGCTGCAGGCTAGTTACATAGTGAAACAAAACTCCAATGCACTGATCTGCTGGACAGGGTATTCCGCTGTGTCTGGCCAGGGCTTGTGAAATCTCCACACTTAAGTTTGGTTCCAAATTCAGCCATCTCTTGCTGACCCTCCCCCCTGCTCTCCCCTGCCCTCCTCTGCCTCCTTGGATGTGCACCAGTCCTTTCTCATTCTGTTACCCTGCAAGGCTTTTTCTTGGCCCCTCCAGCACCCACCCCCCTGAAACTCCTCAGTCACATGGTCTTGCTCCGCTCCCCGCCCCACACCTGCATACAGAGAGTGGCTAACGTCCATCCCCAAATCTCTGCCAGGATGCATCTTTGGTTCCAGAGTCACATTTTTAGACGCAGCCAAGGCCTTGTTTTGCCCCTTCCTATCCCTAATTTTTAGAATCTAAGCTGCCCAGCACTTTCTTGCACCATCACTGTCCCCCTCCTGACCCCGCCCACAAGCACAGGTGCTTGTCCCTTAATGCTCCTGCACCCCCCCATTCCTTACAGCAGAGTTTCTCATTTAGCAGAGGTGAGTTGGGCGCTAGCTCCAGAACAGTGTGCACATCCGGTGGGTGATCTGACCCCAGATTGAAACAAGAAACCATTGACTACCGTGTGTGGCCTCCGATTTACCAGCTCACTAATGGATAGGAAATCTGGGGGGGGGGGGGAGGAAGGGAAGATTGCTGGCAGTTCCAGCCCTCAGTGAGGCTAAGCCCTGAATGTGGATGGGGAGAGTAAACCATCCCAGAGGCAGTTCCCGTGGGTTAAGGAAGGTTGAGACACGTTGGCAGAAGGAAGAGAGCACTTGATGAGGATGGGGGAAGTTCAGACACTGGTTGTCTGTGCGTTTAGCAGAATTTCAGGCTCTGCCAGGCTGCACCTTTCACAAGTACATTACTTGTGAAAATGCTAACTTGATTGTGCTATTCCAGCCCTGGACTCCCTGCCCCCAGCTCTGCTGATGCCCCTCACTTCTGACCTGTACCCCACTGCTCTTCCATTCCTGGGTTCCAGCATGCAGCGCAGCCCATCCTCTGCAATCCGGACCTGGACACACCCACCCCATTGCAGTTCTGCAGTGTCCCTTTCCCAGTTGCCTCCACTTCTCAGGACTGGGATGTGGTGTCAGGGCAACAAAGACATCAGTTCTCTAGCATCCTCTGAAAACTCATCACTAAGACTAAGATTTCGTCATGGGTATTTTTAGTCAAAGTTACGGGCTCTGTGAATTTTTATTGCCTGTGACCTGTCTGTGACTTTACTAAAAATAATCGGGGGACGGCAGGGCTAGGTATGGGGGAGGAATGGAGTCCCATGGGGGGGACTGACAGGCCGAGGCTCCCGCCATGGCGGGGGCACAGCCCCGGCTCCAGAACTGTCTGCAGCTGCGGGACAGGGGTGTGTGGCCTGGTAGCCCCCTGCAGAAGCCGCACACAGCCCTGGCTGCAGCCCCCGGCCGAAGCCACAGGGCTGGGGCTGCAGGGTCCTAGTTCCAGCCAGCCCCAGTTGCAGGGCAGGGGCACACAGTCCCGCCTCCACCTCCTGAAGCTGTAGAAGTCACGGAGGCCCAGTAAAGTCACGGAATCCATGACCTCTATGACTAAATCGTAGCCTTACTCATCACTGATCCTTGCCCTGACAGCCAGGAGAAAATGGAAATAAACACCGACAGAAGCAATTAAAAACACTCAGGGACACACACACACACACACACATTGATCCTTGGTGTAACTCTATTGACTTCAGCAGAGTCACACCAGGGAGAGATTTGGCCTGTTGACCCATGTGAGAGATTTTCCGTCCACTCCAACCAACTATAAGGCAGAAGAAATTATTGATAAAACCTCTTAAACAGAATTTCAAAAACAAGATCAATAACTCTCCAATAAGAGATGCAGTTCTGACACGTCTGATGATATAGGTCAAGACGCAGAAAATGCAGCTCGCCTTTGGACCAAATGGGAAACCAGCCAGTTACAAACTGGTAAGGGACATTCCCTGCATAAACCAAACAAGCCCACTATTAGTTCTCAAAAATAAATGAAAAAGCAGAGCTGTGTGAAGGAGCTCATTTTAATCTGATCCCTTGTGAGTTCTCTGGGCATTTGAAACATCCAATACTTTGGTTTGTTTTAAGTGTAGTGCCTCAGCCAGGATTTATGCACTTGCTTACCTTTGCAGGCTGGGAGTCGTCCAGCTATTTCCCTGGAATAATTCACAGTGCATATAGTTAAGCATGGACAGGACTGGGGGCCTAAGTGTTTGAGTTTGACTAGCCAGGTGTCTTCTGCATAGGGGAAAATCAGGAGCAGAAATGATATACTCATGGCAACTGATGGTATATCAGTGATAGCTGCCTGTGATAGGGTGTTCACCCCACATCAGTCCTAAGGGCTTAAAATGGGACAGATAGGTCTAATTAACCCTGCAGGCCACACCCGGTGGAGAGTCAGGCTTGATTAAAAATGACTAATGGCTGATGGGGGGGGACTAAGGTATACAGCTGAGATGTTTGTGATAGAAAGGGGGTGTAGTGTGGAAGGTGGCAATTAAACTGTGGGTTAAAGAGGACACCTAGAGACAGATGCCCCAGGATCCTGGCCCTAAGGGTAGGGTTTACCCAGAAGCATGGAGAAGAAAGCTTGTGGGAGGTGTAGCAGGAAGGAGCCCAGGGAAAGAACAGCTAGGTGAAGGATTGTGCAGACCTTAGCTGCAGATTATAGGGTCCCTGGACTAGAACCCAGAGTAGCAGGTGGGCCTGGGTTCCCCTACCAGCTACTGAGAAGCGGCACAGGATTGTGGGAGATACCACCTTGCCAGCTGGTCTAGAGGGACTCTGTTGCTTTCAAAGGGGAGGACTAGTGACCTGCTTGGAGGACAGAGGCAGAGCCCATGGGGTGAGCAGAGGGGGCATCAGACTGATCAAGAGCTAATCCCCAGATGAGACTCAAGGCGGCATCCCTGTGGTGAGTGTACCCCCATGATACGGACATAGCTGGGCTCTCTACAGCTCTTCCTTGTTTCCTGTGTGGCTTTTGGGTTTCTAGGTCACGTTTCTTGGTAACGTCATCAAAGGGGAAAAAATAACCAATTTGTCTTTCTAAAAATAAAAGCACTTCCCCTCGAGCCACGTTCCAGTCCCCTGCGCTGGTCACGGTGTCAGACGCTGAGCTGCCTCTTCTGCTCTCCAATAGCATCAGCAGGCTGGGCTTCCTGCTGGGAGCAGTTGGGAAAACAGCCACTCAGACTGACAGGCCACCCAGAGTGATGAGGGTCTGAGACAGCCAGGCTGGCCCAGGGGTTTCTGAAAATGCAGTGCTAATCTCTGTCCCTGTTTGGGGCCTGACCCAGAGCCCGCTGCAGTTGAGGGGAGTCTCTCCATTGGCTTCAGTGGGCTCCAGAGCTGGCCCCCTGAGTGACTGTAATGAATTTCGTGGTGTTCCCCCAATGAAGAGCCTTACACCCAGCAGATGGGGATTAGCTTGCTCACAAAGGCAAGTGGTGTGCATGTGAAATTGTGCTAAAGGAACCCAGCAGAGTTCAGGCCAGGGGGCCACCAGAGGTGGGAATGCTCCATTGCCCCTGCTCAGGGGCCCTAACGGCAGGGTAAGAGAGATAGAACGGGCCTTCTCTGGGCTCAGCGAGAAAGGGTGTGGGGTCCATTTGGACTGTATGGGTCACAGCTGCTTGGAAGCTGCCCCGTTGGAGACAGCACCTGGCAAAGGAACCCAGGCTGGCATGAAGCAGCTGGTTAGTGAGGGAAAGGCTGCTGCGTGGGTGATGGTGGTGAAAGGGTTGCTGAAAAGCCAAGCAATAGGCCAAGCCTTCCTTGTGAGCCTAAAGTGAGCTGGGCTGGGCCCGGCCTGGCCTTCGCTGCGCTGGACTAGACCGGGTGCTGTCTGGGATCTGGGCAGAGCAGTGTTCGCTGCACCATGCGCTGCAGAGGCCACTGCCAGAGGTGCTCAGCTTTAACCCAGCCCCACTGGCCATGCTTTCTGGAAGCTTCTAGAGTAAA